GTTGAATGTTCAAGTTATTGTTGTTCTTTGTTGTCGAAATTGTTATGATTTGAACAATTAGTTAATGTATTTGGTTCTCTAATCTATATTATCGTGGCAACCATTTGAGAAGCTTCACAAATATGTCAATTACAATTAAAAAGGCAATAACAAAACTGACAAAAAAGAAGACTTCATAATCGAGTTTGATTCCAACCATTCAAGTTTGTTTGGTTACACTCAAAATTGAGTTTGTTTCCAATAAAAAACAACACAAATATATGCATAGTTAAATTTTGTTTGTCAAAATGAACAAGACAACATCAAAATGCCTTACTTCCATGGTACAGAAGTTTTTCTACTTGAAGTTGTTTGGCCTTGGCTATTAGCAGCATTAGCAGCAGCTACAGACCTAGTTTGAATAACCTTTTCAGCCCTCATTCTTTCCAGGTTGCTACTGGTATAGTTGTCTTCCCCTTCCATTTGAATCCACGTACTGGTGTGTAGCCAATATCACCAGTGACAACATCAGCCCTCTTTGTAACTTTTGTACCAGTATTGATGACTCTTCTACTTGGCAATCCAGGCTGCTTAGTCAAATAAATACACACTCAAATATTAGACAATTAGGTTTGCAATGACAATTGTAAACTTGCATTGATAGTTGTAAACTTACATTGAAAGTTGTAAATCCATGTTTAGCTTGGTATATGCCAACACCTACCATTCTTAGCCTTTTAAAAGGTCTTGTTTGTCCTCCACTAGTGTCCTCATGTTCTACTGGTCTCTTCCCTCATCCTAGGCCTCCTCTACTGTAGTTTGCTTCTGAACTAGTTTGACTATGTTGAGTCATTCCTCTTCCTCTACTTAGTCCTTCATTCACATTTCTTTCTTGAGCCATTTCTCTTCCTGATCCTGCTCCTCTACCTGTACCTCTACCTCTACCTCTACCATTTACAGTCTGTACTTTGAAATCAAATATTAAAGCATATCTATATTATCTAACAATGATATAATAATTAGAAATATTACCTCTGTGTTTGTAATATTTTCATGTGATTGAGCTGGAACACCTCTGCCACTTGCTCTTCCTGTTGTTTCTCTTCCTCTTGTTGCTCTTCCTGTGCCTTTTCCTCTACCACTTTCAGTAGCCTATATATTAATATATCAATATATATACATCTACATATAACATACATTTGAGAGTAACAAATAAAAGCACCTGTGTATGAGAAGATGGTTCAGATGACTGACTTGGACCAGTACTTCTTGCCTGAGAACATGGTTCAGTTGATTGACTTGGATCAACTTGGTTTCTTGTAGGACATCCTCTTTTATTGTGTCCTTGTGTGCCACATTTACTACAAGTCATTACAACACCTCTTTTGCTCAACTTTCCAGTTTTTCTGCTTTCATCTGCTTCCTTTCTTCTAACCTTAACTGGTCTTCCAGGCAACTTTCTGATCTTTGGTGGCTTTACAATTGGATTATTTGAGGTTGACCACATTTTCATGTTATTCATTGGCTGAATAAAATGGGCATATGTGCTGAGGTAGGTTTCCTTGCTATAACAGCTAGCCACATAATGGATTGGTTCCAAGTTTTTGTAATGAAGGGCAGCAACACCACGAGGACAAGGAATTCCCCTAAGCTGCCAGGATCTGCAACTACACCTCCTATTAACAATGTCCACAGTGTGTGTAAACCCATGGTGTTTAATCTCAAAACCTCTTTCTCCATTCCAAGTCAAATTACATTGTATAGACTTTTGAATGTTTTCTTGCAAAATCTTCAAAGACATAGGAGATATATCAGTGATCCAAGTGTTTGAGAACTCTCTCAAAACACCAATTCTTTTCATCATCTTCATCCTTATCTCCTCAAGCATTGTAATGATGGTTTTATACCTTGCAGACACTATCCAAGCATTAAAGCTTTCTGTCATATTGTTGTCCACAACATCACATTTTCTATATTCTTCAAAATACTTCTTGCACCATGTATTCAAATTGTACCATAAAAGATTATCTAAACCTTCTTGTCCTAATTTCCTCATTGTCTCTATATTGTCCTTCATCTCAGCTTCAAATGTGGATTTAGCAATCCTCCAAAATACTCTTCTTCTTTCAACTCCTCTCCAATTTTTTGACCAATTTGCAAGAACATGTCTTGCACATTTTCTATGTTCAACAAGTGGAAATAAAGTATCCACAGCAATTTCTAATCCCTAACAAACCAACATAACAGAAAAAGAATAAATTAAAGTGCAAAACTCAACAACAATAAAATAGTAAGATGGATATCAGTAATTACCTTTTGCATATCACTAATGATGGATAGTTGATGCCCTTCTCCTAGTTCAAGATCATTCTTCACTAGTTCAAGAAACCATGTCCAGGTATACTGATTCTCAACCTCAACAACTGCCCAAGCAATAGGGAGCATTTGGTTGTTTCCATCTCTACAAACTGCCACTAACAACTGGCCTTTACACACACCTTTGAGAAAACACCCATCAAAACCAATCAACCTTCTAGCACCTCCAAAAACTGTTTTCTTTAAAGCATTGAAGCAAACATAAAATCCTTCAAAAATTTTCTGCCCAGTTTCAGAATCTTCTCCAACCTTCACTACACAAGTACTACCTTGATTACTCCTTAATATTTCATCTCTATAATAAAAAATCCTACCATACTCCACAATGTGATCACCCATGATCTCTTGTAACACTCTAGTCCTAGCTCTTCTCACTGTTGTCCTACCAACATTAATATCCAACTCCTTTCTAATAATGTCCTGCAACAAGACAATGCTGATGTTTGGCTGTTGAGTTATTCTTTCTTTGTATTTGGTAGCCAAAAATTTTGAGTTGCACAGGTAGTTATGAGTTGATGTCAAACATTTATGGATAGGGTTGTATGTTTTAACAATGAAATCGCCACTAGTTTTATCCTTACTTGCACACAACAACCAAGGACAACTCTCTTTACAACATCTCACTCTAACTATGCCAGGCTCATTTACATATTTTTCAATTTGAATATGTTCTTGGATTGCATATCTTGTCACTGCCACTCTAAATTCTTCAAAAGTTCCAAAAACCAGTCCTAATTCCCAAACAATCTTTTCAGTAGTTGTATCAAACACAACTCTATTTGGGGTTTTCTTCCTCCTAACAGGTTTATGCACTACTTGATCAACCTCTTCACCATCTATTTCAAAGCTAGGAACTTCATCACTTATATAATAAGGTTCATCACCTCCTAGCTTACCAACTAAGCTTTCCCTAATACCATTATTTGTCTCATCATACCCTATATCTGGACCTTTCTCATTAACATTAATCTGATCTGAAGTAGTTCCTTTGTGACCTTTTGAAATGCCTCTTGGTTTCTCTTATATCTACATACTCTTGATGAACATCACTGTCAACCTCAGTATCTTCACTAGTATCCCCTTCAGATCCAAATTCATCTTCCACTTCATCATCGATTGGATCATCATCTATTATAGGATAATCAGAGCAAGAAGGAGGCACAATAGAAGGAGATGATGGAGGCACAGTAGAAGACTGAGCTTCAAATGGAGTTCTGGAAGTTTTAGAAGGACCAGTTGTAGGGATGGAAGGAATAGAAGTAGGAGGCTGATTATTAGGGTTAGAAGTGTCATTAAAAGATTCCTCACCTACCCCACTTTCAGTCACATGGGGGACAACTCCAATTCAAGTGGGGCTGATTAGCTTCACTAACCCCATGAAAAACATACACCTCCACTGTATCCCTATCATTCATCATATTGAAAAGGTCAAATATAACCTTATCATTATCAACAAGGACCAATAACTCATCCCACTTGATGAAAAAATCACAATCTATTATATATCCTACTTCCTTTATGTAGTCCCTCAACTCAAAATAAGACATCCTATCAACATCTACATCTAGGAATTCTGTCACATGACCCCCAATATATTTAGGTGGTGGACCAAATTCTAT